GACCCATCCGAGGGCACTGGATTGGACGCTTTCCCCCTTATCACCCTTCCCCCTTTAATTTTATTGTGGCAAAATATACGTAACAAAACTAAGCGCTTTAACGTGAGTATTCAGCGGCAGGAAGACCATTCGCCCCGTTTGCTAAACACTGACGCCCCGCCACCCTCTCCGGCCCGCGCCACCCTCTCCGGCACCTGCCGTCTCAGTTCTCCGCGCGCCCTGGACGTGGCGTCAGGCAATAGTTGTCCTTTTTACCCGGCTCCTTCCACTCCGCATAGCCAGTAGCGGGGTCACAGTTCCATGCTTTCTAAAGGCCGAATGCCGGGCCATTGTGCGGATGCACCACATTTGGTTTAACCATCTGTTGATGGACATTTGGGCTGTTTCCACTGTTTGGGTTTATAAATAATGCTGCTGTGGACATGGTTGTGCAAGAAGCCGAGTCTCTGCTTTCAGTTCTTTTGGGGAGAGATGGAGAATTGTTGGATCATATGGTAATTCTATGTTCAACTTTTTGAGGACTCCCCCCCCCCTTTTTTTTTTTTACTAGAGGATTTTACCGGCCTATATAGTAAAATAACTCCTAGGTCCTGAAGGCAACGTGTTTGGCAGTGCCTGGCAAGTGCTGAATATGTAGAATTATTTGGGCTTCCTTAACAGCGCTATGAAGTGGGGAGTGAAACCACCCAGGGCACAGTTCTGCTTGTGAAGTTTCGCCTCTGAACTGGCCGGCCAGCAGGCAGATCTCTTAAGCCCTGTGCGTATCAAGCAGAGCGTCCGTAAACTTCTCATTAACACACCCAATCACAGATTAGTTCCGTGTGATGGAAGTATTACTTTTAGAATTGACCTTTTAAAGAGAAGCCTGCTCTAGAAATAATTTTATATTATATACTGTGGGCAGCCTAGGTATTATGAAGGGGGAGAACCTCAGTAGCACCCTACAAAATCCTGGAGCTTATCAACTCTTCCCATACCTGTGACAGATGACAGTTCGTGATGCCATAAATCAAGGTATGGATGAGGAGCTGGAAAGAGATGAGAAGGTATTTCTGCTCGGGGAAGAAGTTGCCCAGTATGATGGGGCTTACAAGGTAACCAAGATACGGGAAAGCTGAACAAAATTGAGGTGATGGTTGGGCTCCCAGGTACACTTTATAAAGTAATGGGGTCACTGCTTAATTTTAGGTCAGTCGAGGCCTATGGAAGAAATATGGAGATAAGAGGATCATAGACACCCCCATATCTGAGGTGAGCCTGCCATCAGGAAGCTGACCGCTAAAGGGTGCAGTGTTATAATTTTTATGGGTTTTCACATGTTTGTGTTTTATTTTGTAGATGGGGTTTGCTGGAATTGCCGTAGGTGCAGCTATGGTATGAATCTTTATGAATCTCATCTTAAGTGTGGAGTAAAACCTTTTTAACATGACCTTTTGAAAACATTATTTGAATGTTGGGGGAGCGGAGTGGTTGTTTGTCCCTCTTCATTGCTGTTTTAAGTCTTTTTAACATCTGTGTTTTTGATTTGACAGGCTGGGTTGCGGCCCATTTGTGAATTTATGACCTTCAATTTCTCTATGCAAGCCATTGACCAGGTTATAAACTCAGCTGCCAAGACCTACTACATGTCGGCGGGCCTTCAGTCTGTGCCCATTGTCTTCAGGGGGCCCAATGGGGCCTCGGCAGGCGTAGCTGCCCAGCACTCACAGTGCTTTGCTGCCTGGTATGGACACTGCCCAGGCTTGAAGGTGGTCAGCCCCTGGAACGCAGAGGATGCGAAAGGACTTATTAAATCGGCCATTCGGGATAACAATCCAGGTCAGCAGAGGAGCCCTTGGGTCTCTTTTGAACATTCAAGAACTAAAATGAAATCTTTGCATGGGAGGCACCAATAAAAGCTGCTTGTTAGGCTTAGACATATCATATAAAATGTTAATGATTTACAGATATAGTGAAGAAAGCAAAAAATGTTGTTTTTCTTATTTCTGACTACATGGGGGCCAGTTAGGTAAAGGAGACACTATGTACCTACAACACTGGTTTAACCTCATAAAGTTAGGATTGAGCAGACTACAAAAGTCAATACCTAAACCATCCTCAGGGGAACTGGCCACGGTAGACAGGCTTCCTAATCAGCACAGTGAAGCTTCACAAAATGGAATGGTACTGGCGCTCTCCCTCTCAGGAGCATGCCACCTTTCTCCCTCTTAGGCGCGCATCTCCTAAGCTCTATGGGTCCCATAAGACTTGCACCCAGGGGAGCAATGGGCAGCAGCAGCGTGTCCCCGGCTAACCCCCTGAATCTGTCTCCAAGGCCCCCTTTTCTTTGACTTTCCCGTGAGCCAGAGCAGCCCTGCCCAGTCTTCTCTTGCTGCTTGTCCTCAGCCCTTGTTTCACTGTCCCCAGCTTGAACAAACATGCTCTCAGAAAAGAAAGTGTTGTGTGTACATATTTAGTCAAATAGTTACTTTTCTTTAAATATTTGTATTTTGCAGTGGTGATGCTAGAAAATGAATTGATGTATGGAGTTGCTTTTGAATTTCCCCCAGAAGCTCAGTCAAAAGATTTTCTGATTCCTATTGGAAAAGCCAAAATAGAAAGGCAAGGTAAGAAAACTTAGTATACATTTAAACATTATTTGTACTATAGCCCCTCTGTTTGTGTTACTCAAATTCATTCTAGACTGCATTGCCCTTTACTTTGATTAGGGAAGTATTAGATGAGTCAAGATAAGAATATATCATGCCCCAATTGCTCATACACTTGTGTTTTTCTAAATCTTAATCCAGTAGATTTGTATTTCATTTCTAGGAAGGTTGCCACATGCCTCATATTACTAGAATGAAGCTGAGTTGAAGATTTTATAAATGAACTTAGTTTCAACCTGACTTCTGATCTGTGACCACTTTGTTTCAGGGACACACATAACTGTAGTTGCCCATTCAAGGCCTGTGGGACACTGCTTAGAAGCTGCAACAGTGCTATCTAAAGAGGGAATTGAATGTGAGGTGAGTGGACATTCACTTATTCTTAAAGAATCAGAAAGATTCCCTTTAAATTTAAGACCCAAAAATAGGAATTTGAGTTCTATAACAGGTTAACTAGATGTGTAAAATCTTGCTTTGTCACTCAGTTGTCTCTACATAAAGCTGGAAACCTGCTTTTCAAATACATAGTTTTTTTTACCACCTAGGTTCTGAATCTTTTAGAATAGTCCTGCGTTTTGAAGTTAAGATCCATCCTTGGAACTGGAGGTTGGGAGAAGGGGAAACATAGAAGTCAATGAGTCGAACCCTTTTATAACCAGCACTAGCACTTGTTATACTTGGGCAAGTTATGTACCCTAATCTCAAAAGATTTGGAGTGACAAGAGCTTAGAAAGAACAGCTGAGGGCCCTGGCTGGTGTGGCTCAGTTGGTTGGGTGTTTCCCACGCCCTGGCCAGTGCTGCTCACTGGTAGAGCATCAGCTGAGCACCAAAGGGTCATGGGTTCAGTTCTTGGTCATTTATCTGGGTTGCAGGTTCATTCCCTGGCCCAGTCAGGGTGCATGTGGGAGGCAATCAATCAGTGTGTCTCTCTCACATCAATGTTTCCCTCCCTCCCTCCTCTTTCCCTTCTTCTCTTTGTAAAAATCAATAAAAAAAACTTTATAGAAAGAAAGAAAACAGCTGAGGGAGAGCTGGCTTCAGAGAACAGAGTGGGGATAGTATGTTTTCTGTCAGATCAGGGTGGTTGTGAGAATTACACTTAGTGTAAGGGACAGGGAAAGAGATAGAAACATCGATTGGCTGCCTCCTGCACACCAAGCCTGCAACCCGGGCACATGCCCTGACCAGGAATTGAACCGTGACCTCATGGTTCCAACTGACCAACTGAGCCACACAGGCCGGGCAGTTATTATTTTGATGAGAAGGAAGTTAAAGTCGAGGGAGGATAAGTGAATTCTGTAAGGTAACAACAGCTGCTGTGGTAGAGATAAAGATTTTTGTTTTAATTAAATTTTCCCTCTTACATCTTGTTTATGAATAGGCAGATTAGATTTTCTTAGACCCAAAGGTGAACAGGAAACCTGAAGTGTATTATGGGGATAAGACTATATTTATGATGCAGTGGCTCTCTAAAGCTTATCTCTTACTTCATCTGGTTAGGTGATAAATCTGCGAACCATCAGACCAATGGATGTTGAAACAATAGAAGCCAGTGTCATGAAGACCAATCATCTCGTAACTGTGGAAGGAGGGTGGCCACAGTTTGGAGTAGGAGCTGAAATTTGTGCCAGGATCATGGAAGGTATTTCAGAAAAACTAGTTTTAATAGTCATAGTTTATACACTTTGTACCTGGATTCTGCATAACAAGATTAAAAGCTAGGAGAGGCCAGATGACTTGAACTTCCAATTTGTCAACGTGGCACTTTTTCTTTGGGTAAGTGTTTTAAAAAGCAAAACCAGAAACAATCCCCAGAATTAACATTCCTTTAGATTCTTGTCTTTCAGCGGTGGCCACACCTTTTGTGCAAAGGTGTTGGTGTTCAGCTGGCTTTTCTTGGCTCTCATTACTCCTTCTCTCCTAGGCCCTGCATTCAATTTCCTGGATGCTCCTGCAGTTCGTGTCACCGGTGCTGATGTCCCTATGCCTTATGCAAAGATTCTAGAAGACAACTCTGTACCTCAGGTTAAAGACATCATATTTGCAATAAAGAAAACATTGAATATCTAGTTTGGACTTGAATATCAAGTCATTGGAATTTATTTAAATACTTGCTGTCACTACCTGGATTGAAGGGTAAGATCTTACAAGTCGTTAATGTTTTTGTACTGGGAAGAATGTGCTTGTAAGTGAAAAACTCCATTCTTACTGCCCGAGACTCCATGCCTGTTTTTTTTGTCTGTTACAATTGCTATTTCTTTGAATAAGACTAATGTAAAATTTTACCCTCTCAATGGAAGGACAAAGTATGAATGGCAGAGTCCTGATGAAAGATATATATATATATACACATATATATACACAAAAAGACAATTTGTATGTAAAGAAAAAAAGCATATGATCTACATTTACTGTTAGATTGTTTTGATAAGGAATAAAGGAATTCCTAACTATGACTAATTGTATTTTTATATTCTTGAAAATAAATGGGGTGAAAGTTTTAAAATTCTATTAAGAAATTGGTGTCATCTAAAATCATTAATCTCCTAGCCCACATCAACCTTGTCCATGCCTATTCTAATAGGGTTCCCTTAAAAATTATTTTTTCGAGTTAATCCTGACCTGAGGATATTTTTTCTATTGATTTTGGTCAGAGTGAAAGAGGGAAGTGGGGTTGGGACAGAGAGAGAGAGAAACATAGATGTGAGAGCCACATCAATTGATTGCCTCCCACACCTGCCCTGAATAGGGTGGGGAACCTGCCACCTAGGTCCATGCCCTTGACTGGAAATCGAACTCACGACCCTTTAGTGCAGTGGTTCTCAACCTTGGCTGCACATTAGAATCACCTGGTAATCTTTTTAAAATCCTGATTTCTGGGCCTTATCCTCTGGAAATTCTGGGGTGGGGTGGGGCCACAACATCAGTAACAAAGAAACAGAATTTCCGGAGGATGAGGCCCAGAAATCAGGATTTTAAAAAGATTCCCAGGTGATTCTAATGTGCAGCCAAGGTTGAGAACCACTGCTTTAGTGCATGGGGCGACACTAATCACTGAGCAACACTGGCCAGGGCAGATTCCCTTTAAAATTAAAGCAAAATTCATGTCAGGTATTTTTCTATTGCCAAAAAACAGACCTGCTATACATTGCCTTCTTCAGAAGTTATAATGGAAAAGACAGGTTTAAATTAGTTATAAAAGCATACAAATGGTGCCTAATTTAAACAGCAAGACAGGATTGCTTACTAACAGGGAAAATATGCCCTAGCTGGTTTGGCCCAGTAAAGAGAGTGTTGGCCTACAGACTAAAAGGTCCCAGGTTCGATTTTGGTCAGGGCACGTGCCCGGGTTGCGGGCTGGATGAGGCAGCCAATCAATGATGTTTCTATCTCTCCCTCTCCCTTTCTCTCTGAAATCAATAAAAATGTATTTTAAAATAATAAAATATTTAGCCAAGCTATAGACAACCCATTTTCTTGACATGGTTTATTTTAATAAAAAATACAGCTGAACATATTTATCACAGATTACATGAAACTATAGACAATGACATTCTCTCTGCATAGTAACCAACACTGATGTGTGTACTTTAAGTTTTAAATGGATTACTTATAATCCTTTAAAGTGCCGTTTAAGGATTAAGCAAATTATAAGATAAAGGATCTTTCTAATAAACGAGTAACATTTAAAGATGATGTATTTGAATAAACCTTTCCAAAGTCAGAATTCTATAAATGCCAAATTCGCTTATGTTGTAACAATAATTCCCCACAAAACACGAACTTAATTGCTCAGGAGTAAGATCCTCTAACAGACAAGAGCATTTTCTGATGGTAACAGTTTTGTCTGTTCAATGCGTTCTAACTATAAGGAACTATGAGTCTAGAGTAGTTTCTTTAGCAGCCCAAGTTCTATATCCACAATGGCATTCCCATTAGAGAATAATACACATTTCCCCCATCCTATTGGAGGGGAAAATGAAGACATCAGTTGCTTCTCTGACTCAGTTGCTTTGGACTACTGTGTTAATGTCTAAGATGAAATTAAGGGAGCAGGTATGGGAGTTACAATCTAAGAATAACCAGAAAATGCTTTAGAGAAATAAACTTAGGAACGTTTCTAGGAGCTGCCTGACGACATAGGAAGGATTGCAATACAAAGGCCATTCACTGCTGCGACTGAATATTGTCATTGTTTTTGTCCGTTTCAGTTGGTAGAAATATTGATTCTGATATGCTGCTGCTCCCAAAAGATGCCCATTAGAGGATGAACAACTCCTTTAAAATAGTAATAAAGGAGCAAAAGATCTCTTAAGGCAGCAATGCCAGCCTGATTTTATCATCTACTTGAATATTTCCCTCTTGAAAAGCCACTTACATGAGCATCTGCAAAACAGAACGTGGCTGTACTGGTTCAGCAGTTCTTCATCCAGGAAGAGGGTATTTTAGTGGTTGGAGGTGTGTAGAAAAAAAAACTTTTCCCTCCAAGTGTAAACACGAAACTTTAGCTGATCTTAGGAGCACTATGATCACAGGTTTCGGCTTTCCTCAGAGTTCCTTTTTGGAAATTCTGGATGGAGCTGAGTAAGGCCCCTCGGCTCATGCCATTCACAGCCTGGGGCTGCAGCTGTGTGGCTACCTCTGTGCTCGAAGGAGGCAAGGGAGCTGCTGGTGGTGGAGGTGGAGGTGGAGGAGGTGGAGGTAATGTGGAAATCCCTGTAGGAAAAAAAAAAAAGGACAGTCAGCATCACCTCCAAACCCCCTGCATGCATGCTACCGCTCAGTCCTGGGCAGAACGGACTTGAGTGAGACAAAGTGTTTTCCCTCAGAGGGGCAAGATGCCCAGTACTGCATGATTTTTAAAATACTGAACAAGAAAGCTAGAAGCATCAAAGGGGAATTTTAATTAAAGGTTGCCATTTCTCCCAAATAACAGTCATGTGAGAAAAGACTGAATATCACAGATTACATGAAACTATATAGTGACTTTCTCTCAGGATAGATGAAGCTGTAACTCCATTTCCAAATTTTAGTAATGATCCCCAAAGAAAAGTTCCATCAGCTACGTTAACCAGGCCCACCAACTCCTGAGCTAGCAAAGACAGACATCTGGCCCTAGCTGGTTTGGCTCAGTGGATAGAGTTTTGGCCTGCAGACTGAAGGGTCCTGTGTTTGATTCCAGTCAAGGGCACATGCCCAGGTTGTGGGCTCAGTCCCCAGTAGGGGGTGTGCAGGAGGGAGCCGATTGATAGTTCTCTCTCATCATTAATGTTTCTATCTCTCCCTCTCCCTTCCTCTCTGAAATCAATAAAAATATAAAATAAA